GTCTCCGTTTATTCAAAGAACTCTCCTCTCTTCTCTCCATACAGGGGAGGAAAAACAAAACAAAAAACTATTAGAGTCAATATGGCTACCACAACAGTGGWACACCTGCTCTAGCCGATACACCTTAATGTATATGATGTTAGCTCCAGAGCTAATTTACCAGACATTTTATTGATCAGATTTGTTACATTGATCAGATTTGTTATATTGATCAGATTTGTTATATTGATCAGATTTGTTATATTGATCAGGTTTGTTTTTTTGATCAGATTTGTTATATCGATCAGATTTGATATATCGATCAGATTTGATATATCGATCAGATTTGACGTATTGGTCAGATTTGATATATATTGGTCAGATTTGATATATATCGGTCAGATTTGATATATATCGGTCAGGTTTCTTATATTGGTCGGATTTGATATATGTATAGACATATGTATAGACATAGATATATATAGATCAGATTTGATATGTTGATCAGATTTGATCATCTCAGCTGATATATTGTGTGGAACATTGAAACAAAACAGAACTTTATTGTCTCACAAGTTTCTTGTTGAAAGCACAGGAATATTTAAATTTAATAGTGAAATGCTTAGTCACAGGTATTCTTTTTTTCACTTCTCTGTAATTTCTTTCTTTTTTTTCTTCTTTTTGTACAGATTTGGCTCCCTTGCCCTCCATTACGGGGCTGGTGTAGCTGATCAGAGATTTGTAACGCAGCTGTGGAGTGTAGGGCTCTGTGTAATAGATTGTATTTTTTTTCTTCCTCTCCAGTGACTGGAATGAAGATGGAGGCAATTCCTGAGCTGCGGATGGAGACGGAGGACAGGCAGAGCACAGAGTATGAAGTTCACCACCAGAAACTGGTAAAAGCACACAGTGGTTTTATTTATTTTCCCTCCAYGAGGATCTGTGTCTCTACTTTGTCCTCGTGATAAACTCCCAAGGTCRTCACCATGGAGATGGGTGCCCACAGAGACAACCACAATAATGCATGCGTCACACTTTTTGTGCTCGTCTCTGAAAGCCGCTGCCCTCTGATCACAGTTAAGGTTTCTGCTTTTCTGTTGCGTTCCTCTGCTGCYGCTCGCTAATCTCCTCCAACATTGTAAAACCAGCACAAGAACCCAAATCCACAACCTTATTCCTGCCACTTTAAGGCTTTAATCCCTTAATCCCTGCATGTTATTACATATCACATTTCATATATTTACAACCAGCAGTCGGGCTGTCACTTTAACCTCTTAATTAGATTTTCACTGGAACCTCAATTTGTTTTATTTTTACACTTGTTTTAGGTTTGAAACGGCAGATTATCTGKTTTTTATTGATAGTTTGAAACATTTCTTTGTGATTGCTTCTCCTTTTGTTTTCCTCTCTTCAGATATATTGTAGTTGAAAAATCTGAAGCCTTGAGCTGTTTGTTTGTTTGTTTGTTTTAGGGCTGTGCGGGATATGCAGTAGACTGTAGAAACGGTATGAAGTTGGCCTACGGTAGAAATTTATACTCTACCGTCCTATCGTCATTACATCATCTCACCTGTGTCAACAGGACTGCGAGTGCAGAGACAACTGAGCAGGAAGGGTTTGAAATAAAATGAAGAAATTATAGTGTTTTAAAACGCGTGAAGAGAATAAATCCTCAAAGTTTCCCCCTCCTGCTGTAGAAAAGTTAYGTTGGGATCTTTTCCTTCCTCCCTCCCTCCCGCTGCACGTCGCACAGAGCGAAGCTTTAACAACCGGAGTTTTTACACACCCAAATTGTCGGAGAAAAAACTTGTTTTTATGTATTGTTACCCACAGAGATGATAAAAAAAAAAGACGTGGACATTCATTCAGTCATAAATCCATCTTGCTAATGTGAAGTCGGCTGCTGCTCTGMTGATGAAGATGAGCGCGCAGCAGCTGATAAGTTCAGCAGGCAGAAGCTCATTGTATGGCAGGTTGATATTAAAACAAAAATGCTGGGTTTGATTAAGATTAGTTTTCTGCAAAAAAAAAAGCTCTAAAAATTACATTATCTTTACTTTTTATGATAGTTTTCTACCGCGATATATACTGTCACCATGAAGGGGTTCAATTTATACCATGATATGAATTTGAGATCATACCGCCCAGCCCTAGTTAGTTTGTTTTTTAACTCACACACTGACTGTTTAGTTGTTTAGCATCAGGATGTTTTATGTCGTCTAAATAATCTGAAAGCTGCAAAAATACTGCTGCTTTGGGAGGAAGTGGCTCCTCCAAAATAAAGGTCTTACGTTGATTTGTTCTTATCTGATTTAGTTTTTATTTGAGTCAATATTAAAGTTTATATTTACAATTGTAAACGGGCACTGCCCAAATAATACTTTATCGTTTATTTATAATTAATCTGAAACAGGTTAGGTTAATCTGAATCATTTTAATTTAATCTGATTCATGTTATTGTACAGTAATCTGACATTGGTTAAATTAATCTGAAACAGGTTAGATTAAACTCAGTCTTAAACATATTAGATTAAATTTACACATTAATTAATCTGATTCATATTATTGTACAGTAATCTGTCATAGGTTAATTTAATCTGAAACAGGTTAGATTAATCTTAATCTTAAACATGTTTGATTACATTTACATGTTAATTTAATCTGAAACATATTATTGTACAGTAATCTGAAATGGTTTAGGTTAATCTAAAATATGTTAGGTTAATCTGAATCACATTAGGTTAATTTGAAACAGCTTAGGTTAATCTGAATCACATTAGGTTAATGTGAAACAGGTTAATCTAAATTATGTTAATCTGAATCTAGGGATGGGTACCTTTTTGACATTTGAATCGATTCGGTACCAATATCTGGTACCTGGGAATCTGTACCGGTACTTAACGGTACCGGTTTTCGGTACTTTGTGTGTTGTTTTTTTAAATAATAATAAACTTTTATTTTTTTAAACATATTTCTCAATATAAAAATTTAACAAATACCAAGACAACATCCAACTCTTTGTATTGTAACATCAGTTGTGTAACTTATTTCTTTAAGGTGAAAACTGTTGAAAACAACAAGACTGTTTTGTCTTATTGYACAAATTAAAATCCAGCTCCACGTGTTTCTATTGATGTCATTTCCCCACYAGAAAAATTGTGTGATGGAGGTCCATGGAAGGCARAWAAGTTTGTCTAAATRTGTTAATCTAAATTATGTTAATCTGAATCACTTTAGGTTAATGTATAAATTATGTTGGGTTAATCTGACGGTAGTGCCTCTGTTTTTCCTGACCTCCGGTGACGCCTGACGACCATCTGCCCTTCATGGCCTCCYGCAGGTCTTCTTCGCAGAGGATGTCGGCTCTAACAAGGGGGCCATCATCGGCCTGATGGTCGGAGGCGTCGTCATAGCAACGGTGATCGTCATCACCCTGGTGATGCTGAGGAAGAAGCAGTACACCTCCATCCACCACGGAGTCATTGAGGTGAGAAGCAGCTGAACTGTTAGTCTGAGTTTTGTTTATGTGTTTATGTTTAATCTGTAATTGGACGCTGGATTATTTCTTGTTTTCCTTCTTTTTATWTTTTTGCGTGTATCGTTTCACGTTTATGTCTTTGAGGCTTTAAAATAAGTTTTCATGTGCATCCAGGCCGTGTAACTTCTCTTTGTGTGTGTGTGTGTGTGTGTGTGTGTGTGTGTGTGTGTGTGTGNTGTGTGTGTGTGTGTGTGTGTGTGTGTGTGTGTGTGTGTGTGTGTGTGTGTGTGTGTCGGGCTCTCTCTCCAGGTGGACGCTGCTGTCACCCCTGAGGAGCGCCACCTGTCCAAGATGCAGCAGAACGGTTATGAGAACCCCACCTACAAGTTCTTTGAGCAGATGAACTGAGGAGAATATCACATGAAGGCACCATCACCTCCCACCTCATCCCTCCCTCCACATCAAACACACCTCCCTCCTCCCTCCCTCCCTCCCTCCCTTCAATCAGCTCCATGTCTCCAGGAGGCAGCCCAGCTTAGAGACCAGGAGTGACAGAAATAGTGACTGTAGTCAGGGTTTCTCTTTTCTTCTTTCTTTCTGTCKTTGTTGGCCGGGCTAAACCCACGCCTGTTTCTTCACTTAATTAGAGCAGAGAAATGAGATTTTACGATGTTGCTCTGTCTGGGCCTGCTGATGTACAGAGAAGAGGCTCCTCCGCTCGCCCCGGGGGTGTCGGAACAAAACCGCCACACTGATTCAGGGACGGTGTTCTGCTGGGTTCTCTTTTATGGCCTTGGGGTGGCTGTAGGTGTGTGTTTATTTATGGGTGAACCTGACCTCTGATCAGTCATGAGCACACRCTGATCTGGGCCTCATTTAATTACAAAAAACATTTCAAATCCTGAAACATTTAAATGTTAAACACGATTAATTTGAAACGAGACTTGTCCACCTGCTGCGTTTCACCCTACAGTCTACACTGGAGTAAAAGTGAGCCTCCTCCTCCTCCTCCTCCTCCTCCATCACCCCTCCTCCTCATCATTTTGTTTGTCATACAACAGCTGGGCTGGGTTAGGTCACACAAGGCTCTTAAGGATATCAGGAGACAATGTTAAAAATAAAAAGTTTATCATTTCCACTTTTTGTTTTTTCAAAAAAAAATAAAAAAAGAAAAGAAAAACGATGTAAAGTCATGTTTTTTTTATTGCGTGTAATGTTGCTGAAGTCCTAGCTGTTCCTCTGTAGTGTGCATGACAACAATGACAACTGGATTTAAAGAAAAAAAGTCATCCGAGCTCCTTTTACCTCGTGTAGATTGTCATTCTTGCAAGATTGTACATTTTGGCATCCTCTTGTTGCTCACATGACTCCAGATCTAAATCTAGACCAACAGGCCCTGCTTTGAGATCATGTAAAGAAACACTTTTGTTTTRATTTTAAACGTACCACTTTACTGAAGCTGCATGATGGTGGGGCTGGCTTCATCTTTATTATTATTATTATTATTTGTTGTTGTTGTATATTTTTATTCAGCAGATGCTGAAAATGTTTTCCGGGAAGATTTAGGCTTTGTTGTTTGGATGCAGGTTAAACTATTCAAGATGAATAAATCTGCATGTCTTTGTCGTCATTTATCTGTTTATGAGCTGTCTCTTTCCTAGTTCAGTCGCMTTTTTTTCTTTCTTTCTGTGGATCAGATGGGTTGAGTGCTGAGATGTGTGGAGGAAGAGGAGGAAGGAGAGGAAATGACTTGCAGTTCCGGATGGATAGCCAGCCAGGCAGGCAGTCTATGTATATATAATGGATTTTCACCACCCCCTCTCCTCGTCCTCCCCCTCCTCCTTCATCTTTTCTTTTTCTTCAGGCGTGCTGCTCACCTCTCTGCACGCTCCTCAGAGAGGCAGGGGTGTAGATRTATAGGTGACGTTTACCATCAAAAGCTTGAGAGCGATCCGGCATTGTTCCTCCTCCGTCACCGTCAGCACACTCCATGTAAAGAATGGCAGCGAGTGTTCTCACACTGTTAATAAGGTGTCTAACGGTGAAATCTGTCTTGTAATGGTGAGTGAAGGCTTCGTTTTTGGGCTGCAGCAGCAAGGTGAGGGAGTTGTTTTGTTTTTCTCTCAGAGGGTGCTTAGAAGCCCAGCAGAGGGCAGTAGAGTAGAAGAGAAAGCTGGATTTTATTTTTATTTTCCTGTGGGCTGTATATTGTTTTCTTTTTTCTTTTTTTTTTCCTCCACTGTGTAATATTGTGCAGGCCATTTGCATTGACTGAGAAAACGCTTTCTACACTGTATTCCATATTAAAGTTTTGAATGTACATACCAAAGATATCTCTTGGTTTTTCTTTTCTCGTTGATGTCTGATTGCTTTTAATTAGTAGAATAAAAGTTATTTTGTTCAGTTTTATTTTAGTTAAGGTAGGGACATTAATACATGGAATCATTCACAACAGATGAACTCCAGTCATTTTGTTAAATGTTCTTTAATGGACTGAACTGAAGCTAAACTGTTTAATGGTATTAAACATCTTCGCTCTGGCAAGTACTGCTGCTTTAAACAATGTTTTAATGGTGGGATTACTGAACCAAAACCTAAAGTTTACTCGTCCTAAATGGCAAAGGGAAAATGGCGAAATAAAAATGTACATCAGGAAAAATGTGAAAACCAAGAGTAGGGACTTTGATAAAATTTTCAAACTTATTTTAGAGCTGTTTTTTTTTTAATAAGGCTGTATGTACTGATTCCAAAACTGTTAAGTTTTTTAAATCCATTAAGGATTTAGAGGTCATAAAATGTTTAAAATTAGGAAGCAAGTGCAGCCAGCATTACTTCACAGCAAAAACAGGAGTGTTAAAATTTCAGTGTTTAACTTTTGTGTGTTGATATAACACCCGCTAGTGTTATTTTAACACTTTCTGAGAAAATTGACACCCATTGTTGGTGCTGAATCACAGTGTTGCTTTCCTCAGTGTTGTATCAACACTGGACAATGTTAAATAAGCTCCATCCACTATTAAGTGTCATATAACAACACTTAACAGTGTTGTTATATGACACCATGCAGTGTTGTTATATGACACCATGCAGTGTTGTTATATGACACCATGCAGTGTTGTTATATGACACCATGCAGTGTTGTTATATGACACCATACAGTGTTGAAAGAAGTATTCTGAAAAGCCCCGCCCTCTTCCACCTCATGTCAGACAGTCCAGTATTTTCTCAGCAAGGAATGCTGGGTAATCTTGTAGAAATAATGTGCTTGCATGTTTATGACTATTRAAGTGCATGAGAGTAAAAATTAGTTGTTCTGGTTAGTTGTCTGGTTCAGTTTGATCAAGTTGTTCAAGTTTAAGTTCATGCAGTGGTGGACGGTAATGGAGTACATTTACTTGAATACTATACTTAAGTACATTTTTGAGTAACTTTACTTGAGTAATTATTTTTTGGGGAACTTATGACTTTCACTCCACTACATTTCAAAGACAAATATTGYACTTTTGACTCCACTACATTTCTTAGAARCKTGTTAGTTACTTGTTACTTTTGGCTCAGCATAGCTTTGTGATCCTTTGCTGTTTTCTTGAAATGCATTTGGCCACACATTATGTTCCTCACAAGGGGAACCAATCACAGTCCACACCTGGGACAGATCTGGAATGTGGAATGTATTTATTGACAGCCTACCCAACCCAAATAGGATGTGAGTGAAAGAATCACCTCTCACATTTTTCTGATAAAAAAATAAAGGGTGTATACATTACATCCAGCAGAGCAGACCCTCTGATTATTGTTACWTAGGGTCAAAATTAACAGAAAAATCACAAATAAAAAGTATGGCAGACCATGTCCGGTTCAACCCGTTTTATTGAGCTTTTGAGACTTTGGCTCCCCGACTATATGGACACTTTGCTGGTGTTGAAATGAACACCGTGGGTGTTAAATTAACACTGGCTTTTTTGTTGTGTTCTATAACACCATGAAAAAAATCACACAGTCCCGTAGACATGGAGCCTGTCACAGTTTCCACACAGAAAACAAGTTAAAACAGAATTCAAAATGATATGGGAGGGTCTAAGCTTTAAAAGTGTCTGAAGATCTCACAAACCTGATCCACGCACTGCCGGGGTGGGCAACGCATTTCTGGAAGTGCCAAACTAAAGGATAAAACTGTCTGACAAAGCAGCCACTGTTCAAAAGAATGTCCCAACACAGACGAGCTACATCTAATGGCCAGAACTCTGCAGTTTTCACTCATTTACAGGCCAGCGGTCACTCTTTCAGAGATGAGGATGTTCTCATTCTTGATAGRGAGGAACGTTGGTTTGAGAGAGGAGTAAAAGAAGCCATTTTTGTGAAGAAAGACCATCCATCATTAAACAGAGGTGGAGGCCTCCGTTTTCAGTTGTCCCCCTCCTACAGCGCTGCCATTGGCAGTATCACTCCACCCCCTGTTAACAATGAGTGTTAATTAGGTGTCAACGATAGCCATGTGATGTGAGTATCAGTCACATGGAGGCAGGACTCAAAAGCCTGAATTTTGCCTGAAACTCTCAGACTGAAGAAGTCTCTTGGAGGAGAGACGAAACGTTTCATTAGAGAAGAACCCGTCCAGAAGACCTATACAATTTTTTTTCTTTTTGWTTCTTTCTGTCTGACGGTGGGCTTTAAGGGGACACTGGGGAGACCCCTGTCTAGTAAGAAGGATATTTTAATCCCATGCATCAGTTTTGATTGCCTTTCCACTTTTTATTTTCTGGATATTTATATGTAAATAAAGTGCTTATGTTTTTATCTGGGGGCAAATAAGTGGAAAAAAGCAACCAAAATTACTGTAATATTGAAAAGTCTGTCTCTTTATGTGTAGTTACAAAAGTTCATTAAATGTCACTATACTTATAAAATAGTTAATGGTGTACATGTATCTTGGGGTATTAAAATAAGTGTAAACTTGAAAAGGCTGTTTGACGTTCTTTACGCTGCCTCTTACCCACAATCCACTGCGGTCCTCCACATCAGGATCTGTAGCTTCCGAGTGTCAAACCCAAGGTGAGTACAGTTCTCTGCGACAACAGCTGACGAAATACAGAAATTAATCTTATATGTCGCTACTTTGCGCTTTTAAAAATATGGGTGCATTAAATTTGAGTGAGTTTGGGAGTGTAAAAAGAAGCTATAAAGCGACACACGAGGAAAACGATGGAAAGCTAAGTTACATTAGCATCCACTGAATTAGCATTAGCAGCGTGTGTCGCGTGAATTAAACAGTTTGCCTGCGGTTACGGTCGTCACTTCTACTCGGTGAAATAAATCTTGAACACGACCACCGTCACAATGTTGTTTTAAACTATAACACGATGTTTTGCTCTGGCCTGTCCCAAAAACTCTCTGAAGTAGTTAGCATYGGATGTGCTAGCTGTTGCTAACTTGAAATGAAGCTAGTTGAACGTCCTTGATGCTTTTTAGTTAAAACTTTCACTGGTTTGTTCTTGTTTGAGTTAGTCACACACACACCGCCAACTATTTGTTTRTCATGTGTTATTAAGTGTAGTTAGGTCTCATTATTTTGATGGTTAAAGAGAAATGAACGCCCGAACAGGTAAGATAAACTAGTTAGCTCTTTAACTGTTGCGCTGTATTAAAACTGGATTGAAAACTTTGTTGTGCTGTTTAACATCTAATAATTTGAATGGTTATTAGTTTGCTCCAAGTCTTTAACGTTTTAGATGTAAACGTGACATAAGTAAATAACTCTGAGAAGTAGGATAAGAGCCTAAACAAATAAAACAAGTTTCAAAAAGACAAAAGTGAAAAGTTGTTATTTGGAAATACTTTTGTTTAGCTACATGTAGAACTAAGCTACTATTCATTTGATAACTTTCTGGTTTGTGAAGTGAGCAGCTTTGAACTTTTGAGGCTTCTCCGAAAACTAATATTATTTTAGTAGATTAATATTAAATAAAGGAGTAAAAAGGATCCTGGACGGCTCAGACTCAGCTCTGATGTGACCCACAGACTCATGAGTCCAGGACGTGTGTTTTCTCCTTCCAGATGGCGCTGCATCGTTTGTCCCGGCTGTCCTCGCTGCTGCGCTCCGCTGTGGTGCTGACGCTGCGCAGGAACGTCGGCATCTCTGCYGTCGTCTTCAACAAGGCCAAGGAGCTCGACCCCATCCAGAAGCTGTTTCTGGATAAGATCCGGGACTACAACACCAAGAGGAAGTTAGTCTAAAACATCAGCTCCTTTCCTTTCACCCACATGAAATAACCTCTTATTGAAAATGTTTGGGTTTGAGTCCTCACACTTACAGTTCATCTGTGCTGATACTTTCTGTGGGCACACTGTGAAGTGAGATTACTCTTCAACAGGTTAATTATATAAATCAGGTTCAGTTTTCTGTAAGAAATGCAAAGATGGTTTTGTACAGAAGGACTGAATTCTGCTGTAAGCATTTTATAGGTTTTTGTTATAAATCAGATTGTCAAAAGCTAAAAATAATATTGTAATTGCAACTTGAAGACAGCGTTCTAGATTTTACCACAGTATTGTTTATTTACTGCGGTAATGTTTAAATCAGTTTTAACTAGAATTAGTACAGTTACAGAACATTCAGTAAACACAATATTAGACTTACGTATCAGTATGAGACAGAGTCAAAACCCAGAGTTTTCAAGTAAAAGTTAGAAGCAGAACTCGTGGTTTATTTGCACCATGCATGTTTGTTTACTTACTGAAGTCTTTATTTGTTTTTAACGTTTTAAAGTGGTAAACTCACTGTTCTGGAAGAAGTTTTACAAACGCTGCTTGTGTTTCGATGCCAAGCTCTTGTTTTTATAGCACGGCCCTGCTCGATCTTAGTCATATTTGTGATTTGTGTTGATGAAATGAGTCAGGAGGAGCTCAGGCTGCACTGAGGGGAAAAAACATCAATATTTTGAGGTTTGTGTAAAAACATAACCTTACAACCCCAGTAAATATAATAAGACAATAATTTACTTCTAAGTAGAAGATTTCTAACAGGGATTTCTCCTGAAATAATTTTGAAAGTTTCCTTTAAAATTTACTTTTTTCCTCTCTCTCTGCTAATATCATACAAAGTTTGTGTTATTGTGAAGTTTGGGGATTTCTCTTTTGTAAGTAAAGGACATGAATTACAGATGACAGTAGAACCCCCTCCCTCCAAAAAAAAAAAAAAAAAACACATTTAGTAATCAAATCTGCACATTTAAACCAGAGGCTCAAACTTTTCTGTCAGTAAAAGGACTAAATGTGAGAAATCTCTCACTGTGACTCATTTTGCTGCACGGATCATGTTTATTTTTCATGGACGTCTTTCTTTCAGTCCTGTCTGTGAATCTCAGCTTGTCCAGATTTACCAGTACATGTTTGTGTACTTTGAGTGCGTACCTGCATTTCAGAATCAAATATCTATTCATCTGGGGAGTAAAGTCATTTATGCTGCTATGATATAATCCATGTCTTTTTTCATACTTCATAATTTGACCGTACACAGAGCCTGAAGAAGAGTGAGCAGGGATTACATGACAGGTTTTTTGGGATGTCTGGGTTTTGCTGAGTCAGCTTTGTCAAATTTGCTCTGTAGGGCAGCCCTCAGGTCCTGAGCATGTGGTTTATATCACTCCCACCCTCCAACACACACATAGGCCTGTCACGATAACAAATTTTGCTGGGCGATTAATTGTCTCAAAATTTATTG